AGACGTGGATTTCTGGTCCTGCATTTCTCACTCGATCACCTAAGGAGTGGCCAACGGACCTTACCTGCAGGGATGTAATATTGCCTCGTGACCCTGAGATTAAAAGGAGTGCTTTGGTAAACATGATAAAAGTCAATGAAAATTCTGACTCCATATCAGATCTCTTTGATTACTTTTCATCTTGGATTCGAATAAAGAAAGCCGTAGCATGGATCCTTCGCCTGAAACGAATCTTGATGGACCGTAGCAAGGAAAGGAAACGACTGCAGACTGTTCTCGTCTCCTCTAATACAGATCCATACGTACAAGAGATGATCGTTAATCAGGAGATGCAGAAGTTTAAATCTACATCGTGTGAGGACTTACTTTCGTTGGAAGAATTGGAAAGGGCCGAAATGGAAATCATCTGACTTTCTCAAAGAAAGAGGTTCCCGGAGGAACTAAATAGTCTACGCAAGCATGGAGTAGTCAAACAAAATAGTCCTCTTTATAGTCTTAATCCAATACTTCAGCATGATATTATCAAGGTTGGTGGACGTCTTGCTAACGCATTGATCCCTGAACACTCTAAGCACCCAATTATATTGGCCAAAGATCTACACATTTCTAATCTAATTCTGCGACAAATTCACGAAGAAGTGGGACATAGTGGACGGAATTTCATGTTGGCGGCTCTTCGACAGCGATATTGGATCCCTGGAGCCAGCGTAGCCATAAGAACATTTCTGTCAAAATGTGTGGTGTGTAAAAGGTTTAACGCAATTGCAGGTCATCAACAGATGGCTGATTTACCTCACGATCGAGTCTCACCAGACAAACCCCCCTTTACTCATGTTGGACTGGATTGCTTCGGTCCATTTGAAGTAAAGAGAGGAAGAACCACACTAAAACGTTATGGAGTCATTTTCACTTGTTTGAACATTAGAGCCGTTCACATCGAGATGGTTGCTTCACTGGACACCGACTCATTCATTCACGCACTTAGACGTTTTATCGCTCGACGAGGACAAGTGACAGAAATACGTTCAGATAATGGAACGAACTTTGTCGGGGCTGATCGTGAATTAAAAGAGGCGATACAAAATTGGAACCAGAGTCAGATAAACGACGTTCTTCTACAAAAGAAGATTAAATGGACTTTCAATCCTCCTACCGGTTCACACCACGGGGGGATCTGGGAAAGGCTCATCAGATCTACAAAGAAGATACTGAACTCCATTCTGCGAGGGCAGAGTTTGAATGAAGAAGGTCTTCATACTCTCTTGTGCGAAGTAGAGTCTATACTTAACAACCGACCCATAACCAGATCATCTTTGGACCCTGATGACATGGAAGCTTTAACACCTAATCATCTTCTCCTCCTAAAAACAAAGTTTACATTACCACCTGGATTGTTTGAGAAGGAAGATTTGTATGCCCGTCGAAGATGGCGTCAAATTCAGTATTTAGCCAACCTGTTTTGGAAAAGATGGATTAGTGAATATCTACCTTTACTGCAAGAACGCCAAAAGTGGATGGTAAAGACGCGGAACTATCAGTTGGGAGATGTTGTCCTGTTAATGGATGAAAATGCACCAAGAAGTTCCTGGATCATGGGTAAAATTATTCACGCAATAACGGACAAAAAGGGATTGACAAGGCAAGTTAAGATCAAGACTAGGAGTACCTGCTTAACCAGGCCGATTACCAAAATTTGTCGTCTTCTGGAAGCTGAGGAATTTAAAGATTAACTATGACTGACATTTGAGAGCTCTCAACTGACTTTTGACATGACCTTTTGACTTGGACTTGACTGATTTACGGACTTTACTGACTTAGACTTGAACTTTGTATGAACTTTACTCCGTTACAATGATGAACACTTGAGTGCCTTGGACACTTTCGCACACATGTATTGTTTCACATTTTCTTAAGCCTTTGTGAAAAGAAAAAAAAGGGAAAATCATGTATAACAATTATATGTGTTAATATTGTTCATGTTTTGATTATTGCATTAGTATTGTGTAATAATCAGGGGCTGGAATGTAAGTGTAGAAAATGTTTTGTCTTTTATTTTGTAATTTACGTGCGTTTCCAGGTGTGACGGTCACATGGGTATTGGTGGGTATATACCTGATAGTGTTTCCTGTTTGGGGTGTGTGGAGAGGGGGTGAGTAGCGGGGAGTGCTCACTTTCTGTTGACCGTTAGCATGTATGTTCTTCATTTGTTTCTGCGTGTATGTCAATAAAAGCTACTGAATATTCAATGCAAGAAAACGCGTCACGGATATTTCCTGCTGCCAAGCCTCTCAGCGGCTATAGGTTGCCGCTACAATACCGACGTGTGAAGGAAATAAATATTATGATAAAGTGAACATCTTGCCTCAGAACACTAGAATTAAACCAACGGAGATAATTGTATTATTTTTACACTACCTTTATGTTATTGTTTTTTTACTTAAAAGTTTGAACCCCATTGCCTAATTGCAATGTCCTGTTTAATTCTGTTTTATTGTCATGGTGTTTTGGTTTTCCTGTTTGCCTGCCAGTGTAGCTAGTGTGTTCCAAAACAATGACAAAATTTCTATTTTAGATATATAAGCATTCAAAACTTACAGTCTCACTTTCGCTAAAAATGGATCACGGATTTTAATGACATCACCACGGACTTCTCATCACATCTTCTGTCCATGCTCTGAATCTGAAGCGTTCCGCCCCCAATGCTATAAATACCACCTGACCAAAGCGCCTGTTGACACGTCACAGAGCAATATGGGTTGGAAGTGTCCGGTTGCTAAAAACTTTTTTTAAAAACTAAAAAAAGTTTTATTCCAGTTTCCAACTGTACATTGGTTAAAAATTAAAAGTCAAGAATTTAATCACACCTCTACTATTGAATCCAACTTATCATCAGTGCTCGGATTCGCATCCATGGTGCTTTCAAGTATGGCTTGCAGTCTGTGAGGTAAACGAAACTCTATTGGATATTTTAAGTGCCATTTAACTATTCCGGCCTTCACATAATTTTACATCAACTTCAAATTACGTCAATGCATCATAAAAAGCTGCGTGTTCCAAGGGGGCCTTTTCAGATCTTAGTTTCCTTGGTTCATTGTTCCATGAACTTGATTGTTTTGCCAAATTATGCAAGTCTTAAAAAATTTAATGCTACAGTATGTGTCAGGATGTGCTACCAATGCAATACTAAGATTAAGGTTGTAGGCTAGGGATAGTGGTTTAACATTTAGTACACAATTTGCACTGATTAACATGACCAATGAAATCTTTAAAATCAGCTGTGGGTGGGATTTGTGCTTAAAGGGATAGTTCACTTTGAAATGAATTTTTGATATGTTTTAGCTTACCTCAAGGGCATCCAAGATGTAGGTGTCTTTGTTTCCACAGTATTTTCAATTTTGACTTTTTTCAGTCAAACCGTTGTTGTCTATCAGTCATACACTGGAGGCTAAGGGGGTCCACCAAAAAGCATGCACAGAGAAGTCAAAATTAAACATGATTTAATGACTCGTGAATGTAAGTACACATTGATGGCCTAAGACACGAAACGAGCGGTTTGTGTGAGAAAACGAACAGTATTTATATCGTTTTTCCCTCTTGTAATCATAGCCATGACAAAATGATCTGACGGCACGGGAACTTCGATCTGCGCATGCGCCAGAAGTGATGCGCCTATGTCACTCTTTGTACAGAGATTTCGGAAGTTTTACCTTTCACTAAACATATTTAGATATACGGGAAAACGCAATGGAAGATGATTTCGGTATATCTCCGTGTAAATATTGAGTGACGTCACACACGCAAGCGATCACTTCCGGCGTAACTTTGAACTGATTCAGTTCAGTTCAGTTGGACATTGCACAACTGATTCAGATCACTTGGACGTCACTGTGATTACACGAGGTAAAAACGATATAAATACTGTTCGTTTTCTCAGAAAAACCGCTCGTTGTGTATCTTAGGTCATCAATGTGTACTTTCATTTACGAGTCATTAAATCATGTTTAATCTTGACTTCTCTGTGCATGCTTTTTGGTGGACCCCCTACCCTTAGCCTCCAGTGTATGACTGATAGACAACAACGGTTTGACTGGAAAATGTCAAAATTGAAAATACTGTGGAAACAAAGACACCTACATCTTGGATGCCCTTGAGGTAAGCTAAAACATATCAAAAATTAATTTCAAAGTGGACTATCCCTTTAACTGATTTGGGAAAAAACCTTCTACACTGTAGAGACTCTGCCAGGTGAACCGCTTTCCAACCAAGCTTTACAAATTAAAGATACTTTAAATAGTATTGTTTATAGAACAGGAAAGCTAATTCTTGTGGCCACAGGTTGGTTTTTAGTAGGATGATATTGTGGGTTTTGATGGAGATCGAATGATCATGCTTGCGGGACAAGCAGATGGGTCGATCATCAATTAATCCTCACAAATATTATTCTGATAATTGAGCTAATTCATTTTTACCTGTTTGTAAAACGTGATCTGTATAATTAATTGCAATCAACTTGTGGTTAATTACCAAGATACACATGCATAAAATAACATACCATCCCTTATCGGGAGATTTAATAACATGCAAGACTGATCTGATCCAAGCCTGTATGAATAATTATTAATAATGAATTATTTATTATGATATGCAAATTCCCCAGATTGGATCCACCCACAGTCTTTACAATATGTTCTATATAGTATGAATGTGCGAAGTATGATGTAGTATGTAATACGGACATACTACATTCACCCTGTTGTCACTATCATGTGACCTACCAGCATCAATTTGAGTCACTTTTCTGTCAATTACAAATGCTCTCCCGTGGTCTCATGGGATAGTAAACAGTCTATATCATATGCACACTTCAGAATCCTGCCGCAAGCAATAAGTCAGCCGGGCATACTTCTCTTGTCACATTTTGTTTTTCCCATATTATATAATAGGAAAGCATGCGATTTTGGATACAATCATGGTACACACTAATATAAGATGTTACTCACGTATTTACTAAAACAATCGGTCTGCTGTAGTGTCTGGGAGAGAGCGCCCTCCATGGCTGGGAGGAGTAACTGCGTATGGAAGGCAGAGAGACTCTTCCAGTTACTGAAGAATGACTCTGTCTTTCCTCTCAGTGTAGATGGGACATCTGAAGACTCTAGAAGGGGCAAGTAGTTTTCCTCCACAGCTTTAAGAACAGCGACATACTGCCTCTCTGTGCTGACCAGCCGACACCACTGTAAATAGAGCTTGCTGTGATAGAGATACAAAGTAAGGAAAAGATGTCATTAAAAGAATAACTTACACCCAACAAAAATTGTTTAAACAAGATTTCTTCTTTAAAATCTATTATGAAAACTGATCTTGGGGGATAAAAAGTACCCCATGCCTACGGTTAAATATACTGCTGGATTTTATATGTTGTTTTTGCTAGAGGTCCTGGATATCTTGTTCAGACATGTGGTATTATGGATTGTAGCAAATACCAACAGATAAAAAATCAAAACCTGACTGCCTCTGCTAGAAATCTTATACTGGGCTGTGGTTGGATGGATCTTCCATCAGGACAACGGTCCAAAACAAACATCAAAATCAATACAAAAATGGGCGTATGAGCACAAAATAAAATGAACTAACTGACCACAACTCTATATAGGGTTGCTATTGCATTGCTATACAGGTGCCATTGTGAAGCTAGACAGGTTCTAGTGTGTTCTTATTGGTTGCTAGGGAGTTACTAGAGTGCTGTCATGTGCTTTCTAGAGCATTACTATGCAATTTGCAGGGTGTTCTTGGTTGCTGCTAGGGCAATCTGGGTGGTAGATGGCTCCTAGGGGAAATTGCATGGGAATTTTAAATAGCTGCTAGATTGCTCAGTGTAGATCCAAGGGCATTCTTATGTGGTTGCTTGGGAAAACATTTATGAAGAGAAACCTGCCACAAACACACCTTTGTGCGGTTGCTCCTGCTCTCTCCACCCCTGTCTCTCTTTCAGTGCGGCTGAGAAGCACATGTTGGCGCGTGAAGCCAGTATGATCCGCCACTTCTTTACTGCTGACCTCCACTCCTCTTATGAGCACTCCTCCTCCTCCAGTAGGATCCCTCCATCCTGGAACTGCTGCTGTCACTCCCGCCGTAAGGATGGGATCTGTCAGAGCCCGACGGCCCAGCCAGGATAGCGGAGAAGACTGACCCGAAGTGGACTCAGCAGGTTTAGACACGGCGGCTGAACGGCGCGGGGCCAGCAGAGCCTGAAGGTCAAAACTGGGATGGCGCTTGCGAGGGGGTTTGGGAGGGAGTGGTGCATCTGTGGGCTACAGCAGGACAATTGCATGTAATTATGTCTCATTTACATTTAAAAAAAAAAATCACAAACAAACCTGGCACTAGCCAAAAATAAAATGCAAGTAAAAACTGGCAAACTTTTTTATGACTTGCAACATAACACATGGTTAAAATTTGCATGCCCTAACTAGATGTCTTTATGTTATATGGGGTTGCTATGCAGTTGCAAGTGTGTTGCTTAGCAGTTTCTAGTGTGTTTTTCCAAGTTGTACCTATAGGGAGTTGCTGTGAGATTTTTTGGGTGTTCCTAATGGTTTTATGGTGTTTTAGGGGGATCACATTGGTGTACAGTTGCTTGGGTATTGCTATGCAGTTCTAGGTGTTTGCAAGAGTATTGCTATATGATTTTTACTGTGTTCTAAATGGTTACAAAATGTTTCTATGTGGTTGCTAGGGTGGTGCTTTATGGTTGTTATGGTTTTCTGGATGGTTCCCAGGTTTAGTTATGTTGGTATGCAGTTTGTTTTGGGTAGTGGCTAGGTTGTTGCTATTTTCTTGATTCCTAGGGTGTTGCTATCAGGTCGCTAGTAAGCAGCTTCTAGAGTGTTTCTGAGCAGTTTCTAGAGTGTTTTCCCAGTCCATTGGTATGTGATTGTTAAAGTGTTGCTATGCTAGGGTGTTCTGAATGGTTTCTAGGGTGCTGCTAGGTGGGTATTAAGGTGGTCTAAATGGTTCCACAGAGTTGCTATATAGCTACCAGGGCGTTGCTTTGCATTTTCTAGGGTGTTGAAAGGCAGATTTCAGTGTATTCTTGGTGGTTACTAGGGAGCTGTTTGATAGTTGCTAGGGTGTTTATATATGGCTGCTAAAGCGTTGCTGTCCAGCTTGCTCGTGAGTTTTCAAGTGAGTTGCTATGCAGCTGCTAGGGTATTTCTGATGGTTGCAATGGTTTTCTGGGTGAAACACAGGGCAGTTGTTAGGGGTCCTGGTGGTTGATATAGTGTTGCTGGAGGTTGTTGTTAGAGCATTATGGATGGTTCCCAGGGTGTTGCTATGTAAGGGTGTTGGTTGGTGTTTTTCTGGATGTTTTTCTCAGTTCACCTTTAAGTCACAGGAGTAGCAAAAACGTTTATTTTGGATGTTGAACACGACTGCAACTCTGTAATTCTAAAACACTAACATTTTTTTTGGCTGGGTGCAGCAGATTCTGCAGAAACGTTCCCCCTCCTGGATTCACCCCATCTTTCTTCTTCTCCTCTCCGATCTTGAGTGTTGAGCAGTTTTGTGGCCGGAAGAGAGACGCCAGTGAACCCCAGGACTGCATGCCCCCCTCTACTCCAGGGCACCAGTCCGGCTCGATTTCCCCCTCTAAATCCCCCAAGCTGGAGGTTCTGGGGGCAGGAGTCCTTCCTCGTCCCCCAGAGTCCTGTTCCTGACCCTGGGCTGTAGACGAACCTCTTTCCGCCTGCAGGATTCGGCTCTTAAACTGAGCTAGTGTTTTTTGATAGCGCTCCAGAGTCTGAGACCAGAGGTCCAACAAAGCCCCTCCCCCCAGTTCCAGTGCAAGAGCACGAGCGTCCTGGAAACGTGATGGAGGGATAGGAGGAAGAGAGGAGAGAGGAGAGGACGAGGAAGAGGAAGGAGAGGAGGATGACACCACATCACACCACTGAGATGCCTGCAGGGGAGAAATGGAGATGTAGTCATGATTACTGGCAGAACTGTGTGTGTATGTAGGAACGGACTGTAGGAAGCCAAAGGTATATTCTATATTGCAGTAATGGCATACAAGTGGGGGCCAAAAAAGCTCCATTGTCAAAAATGTTTCAACCTCACTCAAAATGCTGATTGCGTATTGAAATTCACATTGAAATACCTGGATTTTGCCCACAAAATGTCATATAGCAAAGATAAATGTGACCACACCTTTAATCAGTATGTTTACTGATTACATAATTAACTGTGAGATAAATGGTATAAGATTGAATTTAAGTTAGAATGAAGCAGAAATTGCGAGCGCCTTAAGTACTTAATTAATTGGTTTGACTGCAATTAAAAAAAAAACTAATTATGTGGCATTGCATAGCAGAAAAGAGCCAGTTAAGACATTTTGGTTGAAGATTAAAGATGAATGGATCAATTGCATATAAGAAGAGCTGGAACATGCATTCAATTTTTTTTATTTCATTGCCAACAGTAAGTTTATTTCCCTTACTCCATTGGCAAACAGTGGGTAGTTTAATATTGTTTCCTGTTTATATTATAGTTTTTCTCGATTGTTTACACACATTTTCTGGTACTTGAGACACAATGACCACAACATGTAACTAATTCACCAACCCCCTGAACCAATTCTGCTGAACTACAAGCACAATTCCTGCTTTACACTCAAATTGCAGTTCTAAAACACACGTTTTTCAAAACACTACACACAATTCTCTGCATTTGGCACAATTTTCATGCAGAAAATCTCTTGTTTTCATGAGGAACACACTGCCATTCAAATATTCACACTGACTCGTCACTTGGGCAAACACATTTCACACAGTTTTACAATTAGCGATCAGAGCTTTAGCATAAAATACCAAAACCAAAGAGAGGATGCAGCATAGAAATTTTTTTTATTTCTTTTTTTACTGTAACAGCATAAAAAAATTCTGTTGTTTTGTATGTAGACCACTGTATGTGCAACTTTGTGTTGGTTGGGGTGTACAAAATGTGGGATCTGTCTCCCATTGATTTTGTGGGAAAAATAAAATATATTTGTTACCGTGTATTTGTGTGTTCTGGGTATAAAAAACAATTTTCTCAAATATTTTTCAACACACTTATCTATGTAATGTCTGTAGTAAGTGTAACACTGAACAAAAAAGGCCCAAGTCATTATGATGAATGGAGAAGAAGTGTTTTCCATTGATCGTAGTGTTTTCCATTGAGCACATCAGTGTTCAACTGGTTCTTATAAATGTCTATTCATATGATGGTTTGTGTGTCATTTGAAAACAAAATACCATTTTGAGAAGAAATAACATTGTTTTGAATGTAAAATTTCATTTTGCAGGAGAATTGAGGGGTTTTGCCAATTGTGTGAGTGTTTTTAGATTTGTGTGTAGAGTACTGAGAATATGAGGCTTTCTTTCAGAAAATGTGTGCAAACAATCGAGAAAAACTGTAATATGAGATCCCTGAGTGTGTCTGTGAATAATGTTGTGCTTTACCTCAGTAAGTGTAGACAGTAGTCGCTGTGTGTTGTCCAGCTGTGTCCAGCAGTCTGACAGAAGGTGAGACATGTCTCGCACTCTTTCCCTTATTGGAGGAAGTTTGTCCAGCACGGTTCTAAGACCAGACCAATCCAGCTCAGACCAGCTCTCCACCTCTGCCAGCAACACCAGAGTCTCACTGTGAAGCTCCTATAAACACACACAAATGCAAACCTATCTGATCGTTTTTTTTTTTAAGCTGCACACGAGCGGAATAGGCTAGATCAAATAAAAAATGTGCGAAAATGAGAAGCATCTCAGACCATATGTAAAAGTCTATTTCAGTTGTTGTTGTCAAACACACTGACCATAGCAGTGTCTCTGAAGCTCTTAAACTTGTGCTGTTTGAGTGACAGTCTGCTGAGAGACAGAGGAGGGTGTTTATAGTCCTCTAGCTGCTCCTGTATGTGTTCTATGTCTCTCTCGCACTAGAGCAAACACACACACACACACACACACACAGAGAGAGAGAGAGAAAGAAACAAGGAGTCAATGTCATTTGTAATGAAATACATGTATTAGGACTGCAAAATGATGAGAAAACTTGTAATTGTTGTTTTTTTTTTTTCATTGAAGGGGGATAGTTCACAAAAAAATACATTTCTGTCATTATTTACTTATTATTTACTCATACCCTCTTGATGCATTACTTTCTTTGTTCCATTAAATACAAAAGGAGAAATGTACTGGTTGCAGTGTTGTTATTGTTAACTAAAACTATGAAAAAAAACTATTGTTAACTGAAATAAAATATACAGTAAATACTAGATGAAAAATGCCAACTTGCATTGCCTTGGCAACTAACTGAAATAAAAAAAGTTGAAGTAGAAATACAAAACTTAATACATCTAAAAAATAAATTTAATCTAAATGAAAAAAATATATAAATTACCAACACTTTAAAGCAAAATTTACAACTGAATGTATAAATAAAAGCTCATTCAAGAGGGTGAGAGGATGTTTTCAGTGAAAAAAAAAAAAAATAGCCATTTCTGACTGTGCATGAATCTTTTATGTTGATTTTCATTTTCATGTCAACTTTTCCTTCCTATAATTTATATCATCAGTGCATGCCATTTTCTTTATGAACACATCCAAAAACAAGCCCTTTCTGAATGACTTCATTGCTTTTATACAAGGTATCGCATTAGTAATGCAAAACACACTACCCAAATAGTCAGCATGATTCTCCTAAAAGCTTAAAAAACAAAACAGTTATTCAAAGCAAGTGAGTGACACGATGTGTCAAAACTGGAAAGCTCCCATTATAAATCAACAAAGCTGCAAGTTTCCACAGTTTCATGTGACTGTTTGTTTCCACAGTTCAAAGCGAGTTCATTGTTCTGGACTCTCTCGAACGTTCCCATTATAACCAGTAATGTCTACACTGCATAATAATTCAACTCCGGGCCTTGAGAGTTGAGTTACAATCCTCATTAAACTACATGTGGTGTATGCTAAATCTTTTATTTTTGAATTTATTGAATTTATTTTTTATTGTGTATCTTTTCATGAATTCTAGCCATTGGTAGCCATGTTGTCAATTAATCACTATATTCCTTATGTTACATGATTATTCTTTAACATGTTATTGATTTATTTAACCATTTACATATATTCTACCATGTACTCTGATATGTTTGATTATTCTGATATGCAAGTCTTTTGTGTCTCTTCTGTGCTGTACAATTGAGGAGTTCACCTTGTTTTTCATCAAATCCTGTTCATCCATGCTTTGCAAGATCTGCAATATTCTCTTAAAGGTCTTAAAGGTGTTAAAATCCCAATTGCTTATTCAGTTATGGTGGACCTAATAAGACTTACATCATTCAATAGTTACAAGAGAAGTAAAAGCACTTCAGTAGGTACTTTCCTTTCCTGTGTAGTCATAGCATATACAATGTTTAGTTTCAGAAGACTCAGTGCTTCTTCTTCCTTTCCTTGCATTATGCACATATCTTTCTTCTTTTGGGATTTTCTTTTCTATGATTTTCACAAACTTCATCTGTTAGAGACAATACTAGAGACAATATCTAAAATAATTCCTAACTACTACCCGATTAATATTGACAAATGACAAATCTTCTCTTTATCCTCACACATACAGTACCTTGTCCAGTTTATCCACAAGTGTAGCCAGTCTCCCCAGTGCTTCGAGGTCACGACCCCTCTGATTGGACACACGCACCAGCCGGTGAAGCGCATCATCCACACTGTCATATAGGTTAGAGGTCACTGCTAAAGCAGCCCTAAAGGAAAAAAAAAGCAGAATTACGTCAGCAACATTACATAAATTGCAGATCTCCACTACAGATTCAATTCAGTGGAACAAAGTAAAATGTGAACAAATTTGACAAAATTATTATTTATTCTTTCTCTATTCTATACATACTTGCAGTCTGGTGATTTCTGTGCCAACCCTGATGTACCATTTGCCAGACCTGCCAGCCAAGCCCCACCCTTCTGCTGAAGCTCTGTCAGCCGCTGGTCAGTCAGAATACTTGTCATTAACTGTTTGTGTTTGTCGGCGCTGCAGGGGACATTCTAAAGGTGAATAGAAACTAGTCTAATAACTAAACTGTCCGTGTCGGCATAGTTGTTGCATAACAGATATTACACAAACAATTAAGTATTGAAATACTTTTTCAATCATATTGCCATCAAATGCTGCTTAACCTTAATACTGTCAGGTAGTGGTTCTGTGTCCATAGACTGCAGTGTGTCTCCCAGCAGGGTGAGGGCGCACTCACAGCACTCAGTCAACTGCTCCAAACTCTGTGTAGAGCATTAGGAAGAGCATGTTAATCTACTGCAGATGTTGGGTCATGCTTGTGGTAATTCTTAAAAAAAAAATTTACGTTTATTGGTGCTTTTTAAGAGTTTAAATTAACTTAAAGATTAAAACTATATTTAACCAAAGTGCTAAGTTTACACACACACACACACACACACAAAGATGTCCATTAAAAAAAGCTCTCTGTTTTATGTTAATGGACAGGTTACATAAAAGTGCATAAGTTACAGTCTCTATTTTTTCTGCATATTTGCTCTGGGAGTATTTTTATCATTCATTTGTTTGTGTGTTGGACCAGGGTTGAAGCTAAACTCTGCAGACTCTCTGCAAACTTGCAACCCTAAAACTCTCCTGAGACTTGCAACCGAGATATACAGTATTAAGAAATTAATCAACTGTTAATTTCCATGAAGCACTATGTACTTACTATGCGTTTTAGTGTATTTTCTTTTCAGAAAACACCAGTACTGTATTTTAACCTTTAATGCTAGAAAATTCAATATCAGGTCGGTGCTAATGTTACCTAGGTCAGTAGCTACAGTAGTTTCTCCTAGTCTGAAAAGGTCAGTAAATGAGTTAACACTTTATTTGAAGGGGTGTGCATAAGACTGACATGACACTGTCATAAACGTGACATAACACCTGTCATGAACATGAAGGAGTCTTTATGAATGTTTATGACTTTTGTCATTAAGTGTCATTCGGTAAATTATGACACTTCTAATGCAAAGTTGACATTGTTTAAAATGTCTTTGTTATGACAACTTGACATTAACACAGACAGAAATGTCTTGATTATGACAACTTGACATTAACCAAGATATCATAACCTGTCACAAATATGTCATAACAGGTCTAATTATCAAACTTAAAGAAGTTATTTAGCTTTGTGTTAACATTACATTACCCTGTCATATGTGGTTGGTTTTGACTTTGGCCGTCATGACACCATAACTCTGTCATGAATATTTTACTTGTCCTCAAGTAAAGTGGAACACATTGTACTAGTTATAAAGATGTCATTAAGGGTTATTACACTGTCAAATGCTGTCAAACAACAGTGTCATTAATATTTCCCCTTACCTCAAGTAAAGTGGAACACATTGGACTAGTTATAAAGATGTCAGGTTGACAGGTTATGATTTCTTGGTTAATTTCAAGTTGTCATGACAAAGACATTTCTGTCTGTGTTAATGTCAAGTTGTCATAATCAAGACATTTTTTGTCTTTGTTAATGTCAAGTTGTCATAACAAAGACAATTTAAACAATGTCAACTTTGCATTAAAAGTGTCAATTTACCGAATGACACTTAATGACAACAGTCATAAACATTCATAAAGACTCCTTCATGTTCATGACAGGTGTTATGTCATGTTTATGACAGTGTCATGTCAGTCTTATGCACACCCCTTCAAATAAAGTGTTACCGTGCAGTACTATTTTTTAAATGAAGTATTTAAAGGTCTTGAAAGGTTTATAAGGCGTTCTATGCACTTTCCAGCAGTCATGTGTCGCAGTCTGTACTGGTATTTTTAAACATTAGAAACAAAGTAGTATTTACAATACACCAGGTTCATACAGTGAGCACTTTTGAGAAGAACTAACACTGAATTAGTCAAAGTTTGTCTGGTAACTGGTGCAAAATTCTTGAAATACATTCATTTGTTTAAGACTTTTACTAGAAAGTAAACTAGACATCAACTAGCTGAATAGTCAGAATAATGCTGTAATGTGAACAATGCCAAATATCTAGCTACACAAGACGCCTTGCCAAGTAAGTTCTTACCAGTCTGAAAGTGAGCCAGTCATCATGTGAGTGGTTAAAGTCTCCACCCATTTCTCTGGGCAACTGCTGCTGGTCCACAAACTGCTGAAGGATGCCCGTACCTCTTACTAAATGCACCTGAGAGAGTAAAATAGATAATGAATTTTATTATCTACTCAAATGCTTGCGCGCTAGACAGAACATAAATGTTTCCCACAGGTACTGAACATTCTCCCTGGGGATGTGGAGAAGCCGAAAGAAGAAAAAAAGTGCTGCCAACTGTTGTAACTACAAATCTTTGCTTTCTATGTCTGAGATGGTCTCTGTGACACAAATATAATATAATCTTCAGTTTGAGGTGCTGATAGATTTCACATTTTAGAAGTAGCCTTCCATGACACAGCTTTTTAGCAAATAGATATTTTTGGTAGATAATCCAGATTTTTTTATAACTAGTCCTTCTTCATTTTCTTCCTTGTAGGGGGTTTTGCTCCTTGCTCCTCAATATGTCTTATGTTTGTCACATAGTTGTTGATCACAAAACCTATTACCTATTTTTGTGTTAGCCCAAATTGATTGATACAAATTTGACTCAGTGTGTAAACATGAACCTCTATTCCATCCAGACCCGGTTGGGTCAATTCTTCTTGTTCCTCTGTTAGGATAAGAATCGAATCAAGGCCTGTTGGTGTCTGCTCCTATTAAACACAAGCCGACACAAACACACAGAAAAAAACAAAAACAGATTTAGAATCAATATAAAGTGCCAGCTGGATTACAAACAGTTGTAGCACTGACTCACCTTGAAGAGCTTCAGTGCAGAGAGACAGAGTTCAGATGGCGCAGACTTTCTGCTGTCCACTATCACGGTAAGACCCTTCTCTTTGGCCATAGGTCTGTCATTTTAAAAACAATCACAGCATAGTATGCACATTAGCCAAGCGCAGTGAAAGGTCATGAGAGAATGCCCTCCACTCTAAAATTCAGTGAAGCACCGGGGATTTACCAAAAACATAGCCAAGTCTAGCTCTAACTTTAGCTCACTCAATATAAATGTTTTTCAAAAGAAACCAATGCATGTAATATGCGTGTAGGTGTTATGACAGTTGTGATGGTCTCTGTCAAATGGGTTAAAAAACAGACCTGGTGACGGTGTAATAGCAGGACAACACTTTGATCATTTCATCTGTGTTCCAGCCATCTTCTGGGAGGTGACTTTCTGTGAAAACCAATGCTCGTCCCAGTCGATCCATAGTACCTACATAAGACATCACTTAATGTTAAGGGAAAAGCAAATATTTTGTAACCACTAAGCAAGAACATTTACCTGTTAATTTTAGCTTTCCTGACTGCAGAAGATTGAAATCTAAGTCTCTAAGATGAGGAGGGGGGGATTTGGACTCCCCTTGAGGAGCAGATTCATATAATCCCATCTCTTTTTGGGAATGGTCAGGAAAGGATGTGCCAGACTGGCTTTCTGCAATACATGTTGAATTTAAACAGATTGAGTATGGAGTAATCCAGTGGTTCCCAAACTTTTTCAGCCACACCCCCTTTTTGTAGAGAAAAACATTTTCAAGTGTGCTTATGATGTAAAATTTGTTAAGTTTTTGAAAGTCTCTTATCCTCACAAAGGCTGCTTTTATATATTAAAAATACATTAAACTTAATATTGTAATATTGTGAAATATTAAAATGTTTATATATATATATATATATATATATATATATATATATATATAGTCTCTAGGTGGTGTCTTAACTTGTTCGACTTCATATTGAAGTTAATATTTTGAGGCACGCAACACACTGTGGTGTCTCTTCATTATCCACAATACCCATGTACTGGTGAATCCAAGGGCGAGATAATCCTCGTCATGTTTTCTCATAGTTACATTTGTCCTTTGTGTAGGAGCGATGGAGTACGTCAGAAATAGAATGGGACATAAGTGATAAGTCACTGTGTGGGATTTGTTGTGTCGTGTCATCCAAACGTTGTTTAGTTTTTGTTAATATGAAGTAGATTCATCATCTGATTTGCATTTATCTGGCACTAGCAGTCCTTTCACAAACTTGTCCATGCTTAGTGCATAAGTATAACCAAGCATCATTCATTATATTTTAACACGGCTCCCTGCGATACTCAATTCTAATTCTTTAATCGTGCCTTTAAGTGGTCTGTTATTATATCTATACAATGATATCGCTGTTTAAAGTGTCAAATTAATATTTTGTGCTTAATTATTTACTTATGTGGCAAGTAGCCCCATAATAAGTGGGATAATTATGCAGTGGGGTCTTGTATCACCTTGAAGAGGTTTCTTTTGCATAAAAATCTGCTGGCTGTACACTTTCCCTTAGCCTTGCCAAGCCCCCTTTTAATGACCCCCAGGGGTCATGCCCCCCAGTCTGGAAACCACTGGAGAAAGCAATGAATTACTTGCTCAGTGTGAGGCCACTGATAAGAATTAACTGTGCTGATGCGAACATACCTCCTTCTTTGGCCTTTGACTTTGCATCTGTTTCTGCATCAGTGGCAGTTACACAGACTTTGCAATCTTTGGATAGCTGAGGAACGTCCTCTAATTGGCTAGAATGGCTGATTGGGTGGATGGTTTTGCTCTGGGTCTTTGAGATGACTTGGTCACCCTTGCCTTTATGTTGGACACGACCATTGGATTTGGCCTTCCCTTTGCCTCCTTTGGCTTTCCTTTTCCTCCTGTAGGAAATAAAATGTATGTGTTTTAGTGATTCAATGGATTCTGTATGGTTATAGTGGTATGCTATCACTTGTACAGGCAGTGCTGAGCACAGCAAGATGGTGCAAACAAAAATATTTGAAGCATTACTGGAATTTCATATTTGGGACTATAAATTTCTATATGTCCATACCTGGGAGCTCTGAATCCACCTGTTTTTACTTCTTTTCCTCTAGGACAAACAAAGTTCTCTGACTTTCCAACACGCTTTTCTCCCATGGTACTCATAGTACCTGATGGTGGCAGGATTGTATCTGTTTTCTCATCACTGGTATTGTCTGAATGTTTGGTTCTGCTTTGCGCACAACCTGATGAATCAGATGCATTGTTCACAGAAGAATCTCGGAGGGATGTTGTACTTGTCCTAGATTGTCCTGATTGCTTGTTTATGCCTGCTGTTTCCTCATAAGCAGCCAATGGGATAGTGCCATTATCTGCAGAGTCGGAGGGATTCGTTACTGTTGCAAGCTCATGTCTACTGTTTAAAGTGCTGTCCAATATGTTATTATCACAGGCACAGTGTGATCTTTGACTGTGGTCCTGTTGTCCTTCTCCAAGACTCTCTGCGTTGTTCTTTGCCAAATCATTTTCATCTATGGAACGTTGCCTGCTTGAACCCCTTTTTCTCAGTGTACCTCCAGTCCCCTCTCTCTCTTTTCCTACCCCTGGCTTCCTCTCTTTGGCCGGATTGTCCATACAACGGGATCTGAATTCGAGCCCTACTGTGTCTTTAGCACCTTCGTCAGAGTCCAGAAACGAAGGGGAATATGACCTCCTTTGGCGACCTAAATCAATGACACGTGGCAAGGGTCGTGAGGTAGCCAAGTCACTGCAGGAAACTACACCATCCTTAGCATTGTTGTTGCTATCCCTTCGTACCAGACTTCCAGCCCTAGCACCAGGTTCAATCCTCCCATACCCTCTCCCCTTCCCCTTTCGTAGTCGTATTGCTTTACCCCTCCGACACAGGGGTAATGTTTTGGTCTTACATATCCCATGCATCTCCAGATAGCGCTGTTTAGGATCAGCACCACCATCTGGTCCTCCTCTGGGCTCTAGCAACTCAACATAATCTCCAGCACCATCACCTACAAGGTGGTCATCACTGCTTCTGCGCAGACATTCCAATGCGGCCTCAATCTCTGCCTCATTACCATCTGGAGGCAAGTCATCCTCTTCATCCCAAGACCAGGAATCATGCTCTACTGAAGATCCACCCCAACCGAGGACCACACCCCCTGATGACAAGTCAGATGGGTCAGGATTGTCTTGGAGAGGATCGGATGGATTGTGCAGGAGTTTAGGATAGACCACCTCTTCCCATGGAATACGGACCACTCCGTCACATGTACTCACCAGACAGGTGTCCAAACATCCTCCACCTACATGGCAAGAAAGTTTGAGAAGAACTGAGAAAGAGGCTCCGCCCTATGTATCATTTTAAAAAGGGAAACAAAAGCTTAAGACATTTTTTAGACACTGTAAAATGTTCCTCTATGTGCAGAACCTTTTTTTCTACCACTGGTCTCCCATTTCACAACTACCTGTATCCACTGGTTTCCTTATTCTTTCATTTTTGTCTTACCTTCTCTCTTGCAGCCACGCTCCTTGTTGATGCAATGTAGCCACTCAGAAGTAAACACCAGCGGGTGCTGTGATTCTGGCACTAAGACCTCCTGTACATTTCGACCACCAGGTGCAAGGCACTTAAGAGCAAGGCGAGGGCAACGTGTCGAGAAGGGGACCACCTGGAGGTAGAAGTCAGTACTATGCAGGAGTCTCCAGTCCAAAGTAGAGAGTTGTACTACTACCTTCTCTCCCAAACATAGTGGCCAACCAGAGTGCAAGAAGAGACAGCCTAGATACTGAGACTGAAAGGAAGAGAGAAATATTTCTTACTAAGCCTCTTTAATGTCGTAGTGGACTAAAACAGTTGTATTGAAACCAAGCCTGAAATGTATCCACTTTTTACAAAACCTTAAAAACACACACCTTTCACACATCTTTAAACCATTTCAAACATAGTTAGATGGAACAAAAGGTCACAATTTGGTACAGGCATTCTGAGAGACAATATTGATTACTCACTGTTTACTTGTCTTCAATAAACTTACAAGAGTTGTATTTAAATTAGTTAGGCTAATATTAGCTTTTGTTGCAGTTTCAAAATGGTTATGAAGAATTGTGAAATTCTAGTGCCAACTTATATTGTAGCTTCATAACAACCTTATTTGCAGCAAAATGATGCAACACAATCACAGCCAATCAGTACAAATTTGGGGCCAGATTTATTAAACATGGCAAATTAGCGTGAGAGCCAAATTCCAAAAAATGCAGAGGGGAGTGGAAAGTTCTGCAAGTGATCTACTGACAACGCACACATTAAGGAACACAGATGCAGCCGGATCATTTCCATAATGACCGAGCAGCGCAAATTAGAGTCTGTTTTAAGACATGCCTCTTTTGGGGTGGTAAATAATGGCGCAAATAACAGTAAATTGACAAGCCCAAACCTTAGTAAATCACCTAGCGTGATTCATTTAAATACTTTTTAGTATTGCATCTGAAAGGGAAAATCCTACAAAAGCATTTGCAATCAGGTCAGTCACAAAAATAACTGTGCCTAGAATATTCTGAATGTTCCAATCCAATCTGACTTCTGACCTGTAATGCTGCCTGAATCATAATCATACACTGTTCTTTTGTTAGCCAGAAGAGAACTGGCCCCCGACTTTTTTTGTCCATTCTGTCACCTAATGGAGTTTTGGTTCCTTGCCACTGTCACCTTTGGTAAACGTACAGCAGAAACAAACTTTGTTGCACTTTTTTCCTGTTATCATTGTAAAGCGGTATATAAATAAAGGTGACTTGACCTGGCCTTTTCAGCACTAATTTCTCACTGTGTGTCTTTAGTAAATCCTAAAAGTAGTTTTTTAATGACAAATGAGGGTTTGCACTGGCACAAGCTGTTAGTAAATCTGGCAGTTGATGTTTAATGTATAGTCATGTGGAGCAGGATTTTGAACCAATGAAATGTTAATATAGGCATTGCAATCTAGGGCATCTAAACCTTAATTGCCAAGAGCCTGCTGCTGACAACTGCACATGGATCTTCTTGGCTAGTGCAACATTGCTCATTACCTCAATTTTGTCTGCATCTTTAAATGTTCAATTCTGTTATATATCACCACTAAACACAGATTCAAATTCTTTCTGTTCAGGCTATAGAGCCAATCCCATGACATGAATCCATGCCCTCCTATATCATCCTCCCTTTCCTATTAAACCACACCCTCTGCTTTATGGTCTGTCATATACAGTCATTTTATATTCAACCCATCTAAAGAATGATTGTGAAGTTGTATTCCTTTTTCTTAGTGAACAGCCCAAAATTTTTCTCACTCTGATATTCCCCTTTGCTCAATGTGCCCCAGTGTTCGGTCTGTTTATCCCTCCCCCATTTCTCAACCAAACACTCCTCCAGCCTTTCTCAGGCTCCAGTCTCTCTCTTTCTCACACACACATATGGTAAGAATTACCGTCATGACTCAGACTGAGGCTCTTGTCCCTGGCAGCTTCTCATAGCGACAATGAAAACAGTCGGCTGAGAATGCATGTGTGTCTTGTTGTATGCAAGCGTGAGAGTTTCATAGTGAACATTTAGCTTGTTTCTGTTTGACTGCATATAAACAATTACCATGTGTGCGTAAGGGAAAAGTGATATTAGTAAGTATGGTAGTAAGTGTGTTATTGCAATTGATCAGTAGATTTTTTATTATTTTTTTTTTTTAATTTTAAACAGTTTTCGGGTGTTTGCTAGAGTGTTGTGGGGGGTTTGTAGGAATTTGCTTGACTCAAGCCAAGAAAAGCACATCTGATATTCTGGTCTCTTGATATGGTTCAGGTCCCTCATTCAATCTTAGGCTACGTTCACACCGTGAGCGCTCAGTTCCGATTTATTGTTCCGATACATTTTCTTGTATAGCTATTCACATTGTTGTTTTAAAGGTCCCCTGACATGGGGTTATTTTATTATTTTATAATGTTTCCTGGGTTGCCCTTATAACATATGTTTTTTAGATTTTAGAAATAAAAGGCATTGTTCCTAGCCTGATTTTAGCCTCTGCTTTGAAAGCTCTGTTTGAAGGGGCGTGTCTGCAGTGGGATTCAGTGTACCGCCCACTGCTGTGATTGGCTGACATGCCTGCATATGAAATAGCTACATATTACATGTGAAACTCTCTGGAATACTTTCACTACAGCTATTATACGTTTTTACTATTATAGCTATTACCGAATTGTTAGAAGTTTTTGAAGTATTTAGACCTATTCCCATCACATAAAATGTTGCTGTGATGAACATTGAGCAAGCAGATGAAAGTCTGATGTTGATCATGAGAATGAAGATCTTATTGCAACGCAGTTTCTGCTCTCTCTTTAAACACGCACGATGATGTACAGTAGTAAGAGCTTTGTGCAGTGTAACGCAGTTTCTGCTCTCTAATGCTTTCACCAATGCAGACACGATGTACAGTGTAACGTGCGTCATTGATTTCATAACGAGTTGTCCAGATAAACTCGCGCTGTGTGGAAAGATTGCTCTTTGATCGCTTTCTGTATAATGCGTTCACAATTTAAATAAGATTATTTTCATCCTACAAAAAGAAACGATGTGAAGTTGATATTTTAGTCACTGGCTTGACTTACTGATGCATAAACAGTATCGAACGATTTTGAGAGAAAGATTAACTTACCTGTCTGAACTTGAACAATTAGGCTAACGTTACACATCAGAAATTGTTGTTTGGTGGCTCGATCGATTTATTTTCAGGCGTTCATCGAGTTGAGGAAACAGTCATCGGTGAAATGTTTGGACCATACAAAACTTTGGGAGTTGAGCGTTTCCAGAGAAAATAAAATTAACCTATTGTTTCTTCAGAGGCTCGGATGAAGGAACTAAAAAATACTTTTGTGTTCATTTGTACATCCGAACACTGATCAACTGCCATGCTTTACTCGTTGGCAGGCCATGATATCTCTCGAGGAAACACAAAAATGTCAAAGCTATTTCTCTAGAAAAAACTAAAATCGCGCCTGCGTGTTCGTACTTCCTGTTCCTAGCTCGTTTTCTCAGGGTCCAGCCAAATTCTCAGGGCGGCAAAGCAGAGAAATGGGAGGTAACCTTTCCCCCGTATGACGTCATATAGGGGAGATTAGCGCGTCTGAGCTGCAGAGAAGAGAAAAACAGCCAAAGCTCGGTTTACACCGATTGAAAATTCTAGACACGAGGGGAACAAAAGGGTATAGGGGAACTCATATTAATGTTAAAAAACCTCAGAAAATGAAAAATTCATGTCAGGGGAGCTTTACATGTGAATTTACCAATTTACCTGGCTGCAGGCAATATAAAAAAACAAAGACAAGGATGCAAGTTTTTAAACATTTATGATACGAGCCCTCATGTTTTGCTTGTCTATAGAGCTGTCACTGTAATACTTATAAGTTCTGAAACATCACTATCCTTCCACTACCTTTCGCAAACATCCTGATTACTTCAGGTATGTAAAATCTTCGAAGTGACACCCATGAGTGCAGAAATGTGACAAATGTTGCTCTAGAGTGACATAAAAGTCAACATGAATTCCGATTTGTCTGTTCAGACTAAGGCCGTGTGTCCACTAAAGCGTTTTTAGCCAGCTGAAAACGCCAGACGCTCTGCTGATGATGCCGTGCATTGGGCGCTTTAGAGCGTTTTGGCAGCGCAGCGTTTTTTCCATTGAGACGTTCCGTTGTTATGATACAGAATATCCACAGCAGTTTGAATGTTGACAGTTGGTCGGTGTGGTATTAGTCCCGCCCCTCCTCCACTGTGATTGGACGGCTGGGTGAAAAGTGACAGTGATGAGCGCTGCGTTTTATCCAAAGTTGAACATTTTTCAACTCCCAGCGACCAGTAAAAACGCCGGGCGCTCTGCGCTTCAGTGTGAAAAAAAAAACGCTCAGCGCCTCGATACGCTCATGGCGTTTAAAAAACGCGGCGCTCCCATTGAAAACAAACGCCAGGCGCGTGGAAAAACGCTTTGGTGGACACACGGCCTTAGGTCGCATTGTAAAACATCTGACCTGTTTCAGATTTAGGACCACATATGGAAGTGGCCCAAATCAGAATTAAAAATTGATTACTTGTGGTTTGTGCCGTTCACCCTGTCATGAAAAAAACAGATTCATATGTGAGCAAAAAAAAAAAAAAATCAGATTCCGGCCACATTTACCTGCAGTCTGAACGAAACCTAAGACTATGGAATTTTTTTATATCCACCAGACAAAAAGATCTTGGTTTGATCCCTTGAAAATAAAATAGTGCACCTTTCCTTAACAAACTGAAGTTTAATACTTCAGGTCAGTGATTTGCTTGCCATAACAGAACACTTACACATGCATGCTGCTGTAATCTATGGAGAAGATGCTTTGCAGGAATGAAGAAATCCAGCAGATATCTCAAGCTGTCATGCTGATAGGTGGACTCAAGTACGGAGAACACCTACATGACACAAACAAGCATACGCTGTCAATTTATAACAATAGTATGACTGGAAACTAAAACTAGCAAAAACAATGTCAAGACAGAATGAATGTTGGCTTTATGAAGATGTTTTAACAATTAAGCAATGAGAACAATTACAGAGTTTGAACTATGTTACGAGTCTAGGGGAGTTTGAGGAGATTTTAGGTTTGGTTTCACTGGTAAATGTGGTTGCTAGACAGTTGCTAGGGTGTTAATGATGTTGAATGGATATCAATAAAGTAAACGTCTACTTTTGGGGGGATGTTTTGGTATTCACTACATGGTAAACCATAAGAAAGGACAGTGCTGACTGCTGAGTTTGTTCGACATTGCTTGAAAATAAATTGTCAGAAATTGTCAATGGAAGATATGATATTGGGGATTTTTGTTTGTCAGCTTCAGGAAAACCAACAGCCCAAAAAAGTCATATAATAAAGTGAGAGAGTAGAGATTGATGGTTTTACCTGAGAGAGAAGAGGAGGAGCAGTGCTTTCAAAAGGAGGATAGAGAGAGGATAGTGCCCCCTGCACACAGTCCTCTACCGCCTCTGAACCCTGAAACAAAGATTATATAAACAGAAGCTGACCAAGCGATTCACATGTTAGTCATCACAACCGACAGCTTGTTCTGCTCTTCCTCCTCAAAAACACAACTTCCTGTTTTGTGTTCCAGAGATCATCTAAATGTTCCTGTGGACCAAATGGTCATCATGACCTTTTTTCAAGAGAAATGAATTGAGAAGCTGTAAGTCTTTTGTCCCAAATAATATAGTCTGGCCAACTGTAAACTGTGAACTTACACTATGTACTCTGCCATAAAGCATAGAACTTTATAAAGATAGTGTCATCTCAGATGAAAGACTTAAAGTCTTAAATTCTACTCGTTCAACAAAAATAGCGTAGAATCGTGCTGAAGTATTTGAAATTGGGCATACCTACAGTAGCTTCCCCAAACACTGACAAATATGCCAGGGCTGTACAGTGCGACATACAGTGTATTACATGTGCTATGAGAAATGTATCTGTTCAGTGAATAAACGTAACACAGTAGCACGCATGCCATTTAGTTTTGCTTGTGTGAAGTGAGAGTTTGTTGTGTGCTTGTATGTGTGGCTGCACAATTAAAGGAATAGTTCACTTTAAAAAAAAAAAAAAACTTTTGCTGATGATAATTTACTCACCCCCATGTCATCCAAGATGTCCATGTCTTTCTTCAGTCGAAAAGAAATTAAGGTTTTTGATGAAAACATTCCAGGATGAATATAATGCACATATAATTCTCCATATAATGCACTTTACTGGTAACCAAACAGTTCAAGGTCCAAAAGACAGTTTCAGTGCAAACTGCAAACTGTTCAAAGGGCTTTAAACAATTCCAGACTATGAATAATGGTCTTATCAAGCAAAACAATCGCTCATTTAAAAAAAAAATAATAATAAAGTTTAAGTTTTATAAACTCAAAAAAAGCTTAGAGCCTTCGTGACTCTCCTGTTCGTACTCGTTCATCAAAATGAACAAATCTTTTTCTGAGTCAATTCGTTCATTTTGTTCGCTGAATGAGCCAAATGACACGGAAAAAGATTCGTTCATTTTGATAAACGATTTCGAACAGGAGAGTCACATACGTGCATCACAGAACAGAGCGAGGTGACCATTTGAGCTTATAAAACGTAAACTTTTTTTTTTTAAATGAGCGATCGTTTCGCTTGATAAGACCCTTATTTATTGTCTGGAATCGTTTAAAGCCCTTTGAACAGTTTGCACTGAAACTGTCTTTTGGACCTTGAACCATTTGGTTACCAGTGGATTATATGGAGAAAAATCCTGGAATGTTTTCATCAAAAACCTTAATTTCTTTTCGACTGAAGAAAGAACGATATATCTTGGATGACGTGTTTGTGAGTAAATTATCAAAGAATGAGGCATAAATTCTAGCATTTTATAGTAGGATCTAAACAGTGATAAAGGCTAGTCGATTAGCAATGCATTACAAATATACTTTATTCTTATGAAAATACTTGAGATGTCTAGAACACAGATAAACCATACTGTCCCAATTGGCTTTATGCACAGCTGCTCTACTTCCTGAACTTAAGCCAGCTCCTTTGTTTCCTGTCTGCCATTATTGGCCAAGCTTGATTAATTCAGGTGTGTCTGATTATTGTTGCCGTGACTACTGAGGTCAGGCACACCTGAACTAATCAATTTGTCCAATAATGGCAGACAGGAAACAAAGGAGCTGACTTAAGTTTAGGAAGTAGTGCAGCTGTGCATAAAGCCAATAGCTTGTTTTCACATGACGTCACGCCACTGCGTTGCCATGGCGCGAAACGCAGATGGAGGGCAGGAAGTGATTTTCTATATTTAGGAAGCACTATAACACACTCAAAATGCCTATGTTTTGCGTCGTTTATGGTTGCTCAACTCGATCAAACCACGAGGAGTTTTTATCGTGTGCCAAAAATTGTTGTTCATAAGGGTGGAAAATACAAGAAATTGACAGAAAAACACTGAGAAAAATGCCTTGCAAACCTACGTCTGCACTCGGGAGGAGCCGAATGGGAAAATGCCTGTGTGTGTGTGTGCAGTGATCACTTCGTCAAATGTGAGTATACATTATTTATGTGGCTTATAATTACATTATTCAGGTGTTTAAATACACTTATGTGGCTGTTTGTGTAACGTCCCAGTTTCCGAACTTTGTAAAGTCAAAGTATGTCTGTAAGACGAGTTAGTTGCTGATATCTACAGCCTTGATGGCAGGCAAATCTCTCAATTCAGTTGAAAATCGGTCCTGTTCATAACGTGAGGATCACGTCCAACATATGTTTCGATTTTCTGTTTATATATTTCTCTTGTAATAGCGTCTAAAGTAGTACAGTACGGATTTTCCTCCATCTCGTCCATTGCCCTTCTCACTCCTTGCCCTCCATCTGCATTCCGCGCATCAACACAATCACGTGACTGCAAACCACCTATTGTGTGTTTATTGTCATGTTTCATTAGACAACCATCTCTATCTGCGTTTTATTCTGCCTTTCTGCTGTTATCTCGGGACGCTTGTCCCGAGAAAAATGGCGTTCGTCAGGTCCAGTTTTGTGTCCAGCCTCTCACGGGGATTTCGGATGCCCCAACGCCTGTGATGAGACGACTCAACGTCTGTGATGAGACGACTCAACGCCTGCGATATGTTATGGCGCCGTTTGATTCATAAACAATATTTATATTTAATATTTATATTTAAACAATATGAATGTAAGCCAGAGGAGAACTGGCCCCCGACTGAGCCTGGGTTCTCCCAAGGTTTTTTCTCCATCCAATCTGATGGAGTTTGGTTCCTTGCCACTGTCGCCTTGCTTTTGGCTTGCTTTGAGCTTGCTCAGTTGGGGTTATTTATTTAGTGTTTAGCAATGTTGTTGATCTGTGTTGTGCTACTTACATGTTATCACTGTGAAGCTGCTTTGATACAATCTGTATTGTGAAAAGCGCTATATAAATAAATGTGACTTGACTTATTCAGCTGCAGCGATCTCTGGATGTAGGGATTTTCTGGAATGTCATATGTTTCATAATTATTATTGTTATATTATATTTTGTCTTAAATACTCTGTTTTCTATTTTATAGTATTTTTTTACTTGTGGTCAGATGGTAACAGACATTTTAAAGATTTGGGTCTAATTCATGAAAAAATCTGTCCATAATTCCGTTCTTACATAGGCTAAATCGTTGCATTAAGTGCAGCATTTTACATAAGAAAGATTTACGAACAGAAATGTATTCTGCTTGTGTTTTATGAATGAGGCGCACTGGCACATGCTCGAAGCCATTCTGAGAAACACAGGATGACCAATAAGCACACAAGTACATGCATATGAACATTGATGTTTATTTTACTACTGTTCTGTCATCATAGCAACCTTGTACACTTTCCTCTACTTTATTTCTTCACTCACTCCTTCTCTAAGCTACTACTTTTAAGTATCATATGACAACAATTATGACGATGCGTCTTCCCAAACACATATTATGCTCTCAGAAGTCTCCCACTCAGTGAGCAGTGAGTGAAATAAACAAAAGATGAGGGAAAAGAGAGAGGGCAAGTCAGCCAGGAAGGCCAGCATGAATGGGGTGGTGGGGAGGGTGAGGAAAGAAAAACAAACCGAGAAGGAAAATGGCAGGAAAGTAAAATGAAAAAGAATGCAAGAGAAACATAATTAAAGACAAAACGGGGGGAACGGATTTTTCGGGGGAAAAACTGGGGGAAGGTGAACATGTCACATGAGGATAACAACAAATGAATGCACATACTTTAGTCAGGCAGTTTAAATGTTCAAAGCTAATCTAGCTAATCTTGTCTAGTGTACGAAAAAAAAAATAGTATTCTCTTTCAGTTAACTAGATAGATAGGTCAGAATCTTTCCACTTTTCAGTTCACCTTTGCTGCTCTTGCCACACAATGATAAAGACAGATTACCAGATATTAAACTCCATTCAAACACTAACACCACTGACAAGTTATTTACACATGCATATATTTTTTTATTCCTTTGTGAAAAAAGAGAATGTGAGAATGGAAAGGTGTGTTTTTATTTTCTTTCTATTTATTTTTAACAGTTTTCTGCCAAAGGGGTAAGGTAAAATAATCCTGTTTCCGTTTGGATTAAGATTATTTTTCTTACCCCATTGGTTTTCAGCACTCAACTCACTTAATTTCAACTTTTCAACTCACTTAATTTTTGTTGTTTTTTTCCCAGAAAACAAGACAATAACTTATCTTAGATAATATCTTATGGCATTTTACTGATCTAGTAAATGCATAATGATTTCAGACATTTTAGATATTTGGACTGGAAACAAGACAACAATACTAAGTAAGAATATTATAATATTAATATATTAATATTATTATTTTTTTTTTTGCAATGTCTTTGTTTGCAGCTCAACAGCCCTAGTTCTTGTTTACTTAAGGAATGAAGTAAAAATACTAACAAAACACTGTTTACTAACACTTTTTGGTTAGGAATGACATAACAGAGAGTAAAGGTTTTGTGTAGGACTGCTGCACGATTTGGTCTAAAACATGTTTGGTCTAAAAATCCATCATTTAAGATCTTCTAGCTGTTTCAAAATACACCTCCTGTTCAGATAATTCAGGACATCCTTAAAGGGTTAGTTCACCCAAAAATGAAAATTAAGTCATTAATTACTCACCCCCATGCTGTTCCAACCCCGTAAGACCTTCGTTCATCTTTGGAACACAAATAAAGATATTTTTGATTGAATCTGAGAGCTGGATCAGTCCTACATAGAATGCCTAAGGGACTGGCTCTTGACGGCCCATAAAGTCATTAAAGAAAAGGTTTAAATATTCCATGTGCCTACAGCGGCTCAATTATAAGTTTATCATGCGACGAGACTACTTTTTGTGCGAAAAAAAACATAAATAACAACTTAATTCGACTATTCTATTACTTCCTTATGGGCGCATGCGCGAGAACTGAGACGAGGACGTTCTTCTCCTTCGACTACTTTTTGTTACTGGCTGCTCCGCTT